CTAAAATTGAATATTTCGGATCGCCAGATCATGCAAAAACAAATATTTATATTTTCCAGAAATCATTTCTAATTTTCAGAAAATATTTATATTTAAAAAAAATATTTTTAGGGTAAAAATCATGTTAGGGGTTAGGCCAATAGTTTTTTTTTTATTTCTAGACTTTCTATTTTACAGAAAAGAATTTCTAGATATAAGAAAATTTGTTCTTGTTCTTAGGTCTATTCTTGTTTATGCTAACCATTTGCTAACGCTTTCTTGTGTAAATGAAAATTTCATTGACTTTAGAAAAAATGCTCTTTTAATTAGAAAAAATACATGCCGAATCGCAACTTTCTAGCTTTTATTGTTTCCGAGGTCTCAGCGTTCATACGGACGGCCAGACAGCCAGGAATTCGGGCATGGCAAGATCGACTCGGATAGTGATCCTGATCAAGAATATATAATTTATAGAATCAGAACGCTTCCTTCTACCTGTTACATACTTTCTGACGAACCATTTTACTCTACGAGTAATGTTATAAAAATGAATGTGAAGTCCCACAAAAATTATGCTTGCTCTCTGTTTAAGTCAAAGTTTAAAAGTACCGATTCAGCTACGTTCGGTTTCTACGCTATAAATGGTTTATGTGAAAAAATCAAAATTGTAGTACTTTAGCCACGAATTGGACAAAAGTTTCTAAGCTAAGGGTATTACCCTATAGGTAAAATCCCTTCAGCTTTTGTGTAATATTCCTGGAATCATAATAATTGTTTTCGTCGGAAAGTATGTAACAGGCAGAAGGAAGCGTTTCCGACCCCATAAAGTATATATACTCTTGATCAGGATCACTAGCCGAGTCGATCTAGCCATGTCCGTCTGTCCGTCTGTCCGGATGAACGCTGAGATCTTGGAAACTATGGGAGCTAGGCTATTGAGATTTGGCGTGCAGATTCCTGAGCTTCTTACGCAGCGCAAGTTTGTTTCAGCACAGTGCCACGCCCACTCTAACGCCCACAAACCGCCCAAAACTGTGGCTCCTACAGTTTTGATGCTAGAATAAAAATTTTAACTGAAATGTATTGTTCTCATCAATACCTATCGATTGACCCAAAAAAAAGTTTGCCACGCCCACTTTAACGCCCACAAACCGCGAATACCTGTGACGCCCACAATTTTCATGCTAGATAAAAAATTTTAACTGAAATGTATTGGTCTCGTCGATACCTATCGATTGGTCCAAAAAAAAATTTGCCACGCCCACTCTAACGCCCATAACGCTTAAATCTGTATACCGCCGGTAGGTGGCGCATTTTAATCTCGCTTTGCTGCTTGCATATCTCCATTTAGCTGAGTAACGGGTATCTGATAGTCGAGGTACTCGACTATAGCGTTCTTCCTTGTTTTTTTTTTATTTCTAGACTTTCTATTTTACAGAAAAGAATTTCTAGATATAAGAAAATTTGTTCTTGTTCTTAGGTCTATTCTTGTTTATGCTAACCATTTGCTAACGCTTTCTTGTGTAAATGAAAATTTCATTGACTTTAGAAAAAATGCTCTTTTAATTAGAAAAAATACATGCCGAATCGCAACTTTCTAGCTTTTATTGTTTCCGAGGTCTCAGCGTTCATACGGACGGCCAGACAGCCAGGAATTCGGGCATGGCAAGATCGACTCGGATAGTGATCCTGATCAAGAATATATAATTTATAGAATCAGAACGCTTCCTTCTACCTGTTACATACTTTCTGACAAACCAATTTACTCTACGAGTAAGGGTTATAAAAATGAATGTGAAGTCCCACCAAAATTATGCTTGCTCTCTGTTGAAGTCAAAGTTTAAAAAAACCGATTCAGCTACGGTTCTAGGCTATAAATGGTTTATGTGAAAAAAATCAAAATTGTAGTACTTTAGCCACGAATTGGACAAAAGTTTCTAAGCTAAGGGTATTACCCTATAGGTAAAATCCCTTCAGCTTTTGTCTAATATTCCTGGAATCATAATAATTATTATAAAAACCTTCAATGTTCAGTGGGAAAACAATTATAAATCAATATTTTCTGCCCCGAAACCCATCTGAGCCACTAAAACCACAGACTCCTGCTCTTCAGGCGCTTCTACTAAAGAGAAAAATTACATTTATTTAGTCAAATGTACACTTAAATAATGTTCGTCAAAAATTTGATAAAGATATGGTAAATATTATTTGATTTATGATATTTCGTGATATCGCCACCACTTTTACCTTGAGAGGAGGTGTTTTTGTTTACCCGTTAAGGGCGTCGTATGCAAATTTGGTAATCCATTTTACCGAATGAAAGATATAAGATCTTGGTAAACACCTTTAAACTTCATTTTTACCAAAAGAGACCAAAGTCTCTGCTTGGATTAACTTGACAAGGTGCTTATAAAAACTATGGTATGGAGGGTGTACCACAGTTAAGCACCTATGGCAGACCCAGGCTACCATTGAACTTTAAGTAAAAGACTATATGGCTTTGTTTGGGTGGCTGGCCTTTGCTACAATTCTGTTGCAGCTTAAGCTTGGTTTCATATTTCTACCGACAAGCTGCAGACACAGCCGATCCGGTTGCCTACCCAAACCACTTTTAACTAGGGAAAATAAAAGTAATAGGCTTGCATTTCCTATCAAAGCTGTTTTTTTATACCTAGAGAAAGTATTCGTTACAAATATGTTCCCTAGCGTCTTAATAAAACAGAAATAAAAATGATCGTAATTTGTATATGATTTTTATTTCTGTAATCATTTCTGGCACTACCAAATTTTTTTTCTAATCTTAAAGAATTAAAATTCGTGCTATGGGAGAGGAGTTTTAATATATGTTTTATAGCATTGTAAATTCCAATAAATTTTGCAATGCTGCGGTGAATGCTGCAAAACGCTTTTTTATTCGAGGGTTGCTATATATATTTCTTGCCTCATAATAAAAATTTTAACCTCAGTATTGACCAACCTAAGGAGGTTCTTGTTATTTTGTTATGCAGTGTTGTAAACAGAAAACTTATTCATTTAAAATATTTTTGACTTCTGTTTTGTGATCTAGGGGTCCAACTAAACCTGGAACTACCATAATCCTTCTTGTAGCATTTTGGCTGTAAACTATTAAACTCTTTCTAACCAAAGTAAAACGAACACAATAGAGAATATTTAGATCTCATCTTAACAAATTCCTTTTTTTATGCGTACCATGACAACCCTTGCCCATTTTAGCCAAAAATTGATTTCAGTACACGAGGGGTGCAACTTCAAAAATTGTAAAGGTTAGAATTAACCGGTTTTTAAAGTGCAACCACAAAATAAATAATTAAATATGCGATAACATTAGCTTATAGACAAACTGCCCCAAAAAGGATGATGGTAGTTCCTGGTAGAGTTGGACCCCTATATCACGAAAAAGTAGTCAAAAATATTTTAAATGGATAAGTTTTCAGTTTCACAACACTGACTAAGGAAATAACATGAATCTTGTTAAGGGGTTAAACTCTACCAGGAACTACCATCGTCCTTCTTGGGAAAGTTTCAAAATATTATTTTGTAAGCTAGTGTAATCATCATTAAACAACAATGAATGTAATACAATCATCTTTTGCAAATAAAGCTGTCGCGAAGTATTTTTAAACAATTACTTTTTATGTTGGCTGATTAAACTTCGCCAGCCGAATGCTTCACGAAAAGTTTATATTTGAATTTTTCGGAAGCTAACAGAGGGCATTTTCAAAAGTAAGTTCGGTAAAGGTTGGGGAAATTTGAACACGTGTAAATCCTTTGGAAGTGAAAACTCAACCACGGTCGTACATTTATTTGAGTGACTCTGGAAAATTTTCACTACAGTGAATTTTTTACTTAAGCTTTCGGTTTTATTTTCGATCACATTTTTCTAAGAACTGACGTGATGAAAAAATTTTTAAAAATGGAAAGAAAATAGTTTCAGATTTTGTGGCGATTAGTTTTGGACAAAAAAGTAATCCGGATTTTGTCGACCTGTGTAGTCGTCGAGTAATCAGCAGTGAGATAGACACAAAGTCCCAATTTTCGTGGCTTGTGGATTAGTTTCAGATCCCATCCAGTCATAACTGAGTGTCTACCCCGTAACATCACCTTTAACTCCCAGTGCCTTTAATTGTGACAGTTCTAAAGTACCAGCAACCACAGATGAGACGCCTGTGTTTGAGCGTGAGCAAAAATGCTTTGTTATTGACAGTTCTGGCGTACTTTGTGGCTCTTGCTGGTGGTGGTGTGATAACAGCGCGAAATTGAAGCAATTGCCAGACCGATGGTGTCTCTCTCTCTCTCTACCTCTCTCAGGAGATAGGTTGTGGGGACTTCTACCAAAAAATGCGAACGGCCCTGGGACACAGCGATAGCATCGTGGTGGGTGCGGGATGCGAAACCTCCGCGGCGTCTGTCTGACTGAAAAACTAACGAAACCAAAGCCACCACACCAGTCCGTAAGTCCAGTGCCCCCCTTTTAGGCCACTCGGTCATGCCGCAAAATATCGATTTACAGTTACGCCTCCTCCCTTGCCACCGCCACAGTCTCCCCCACTCCCACGTGCTGTTGGGTAAGGTTGCAAGAGCGGGATGGCGCAGTGTTTTTCGCTTGACTTTTGCCGTTAGTTACCGACGTTGTTAATGCTGATGCTGTTGTTGCCTTCGCGGGCGGGCCGAGGAGGGGATGGTGAAAACCCACGATGACGGCGTCATGTTATAAAAATAAATGACTGTGCTAACTAAACAGACAAGGAGAAAGTGCGAGCGGCAGGAGAGACTTGGTGGCTGTGTGGCTCGGCTTACATCATACACGCTCGTGTTTTTCTTCAGAGGCGCAAGACAACAAAGCACGACGAAGCAAGGCGCTGCTATGTGTGCCTCATTCGCTCAACAAGGACGAGTGCTGACAATTGACTTGCAATTTGCATTAAGCCAAAGAATGGGGATAAACAGGGCTCAGCGGATTAGGCCTGCACCTTGCAGCCCATTTCATAATCAACATTTACCATTTTCACAGGGTCCTGGTGGTGCTGCTCGAGGTTTACTCTCCACGGATTTTTGGACCCGTTAATTACAGGCGGTAGTTGGATTTAGCGGAAAACAGATACAGAAGAAATCGTTGCCTTGGAAAACATCTAAGGAATCAGCCGGAGAGTTGAGTTCACTTGGCCAGATGTACTAGTTCATCAGGGCCTTCACCAAAGCCTCGGTTCGTTTGCGTTTGGGAATAAAACTAGCAGATCATTTTACAATCGACCGTTTTAGGCTTTTTTCCGCCGGACGAGTGTATGTGGGTGACTCGAGCACCCCACAAGACCGAGACGAGAGCTTGCTTTTCCACCGAATGAAGAGCGCGGACTGTGCAGCGCCGTTTAGAATGTATTTCCAGCCGAAGCGTCTGCCGCACAACTTCGCACCGCGTAAACTCACCACAGCCGAACACTTCGGCCGGAAACGTACTAGTGCGACGCCTGGCGTGTGCGGGTGGGCGGAACGATGGGCTCCATCTATGGACCGCTTTTCCAGTTACAGTCCAAGTGGATTGGTCCTATTATTTCTGCCGATAACTTGACTAGCTTTGAAAAGCAGTAAGCTTTTAACGGCAAGCATGAAAAAAACACTCCGACCACCAACACAAGCAATAAAGCAATAAGGCAAGCACAAAGAACGATTGGTGATACTTACCTCCTAATTGTCCGGCGCAGGTGTCAGAGAAGCAGAGGACGCGGGGACCAGTAGCTAAGCGAATCAACCTATAGAGCCAAGAGAAAGGTGCTGAAGAACCCGATCAAAGCTAGCAAGGCCAGATGCTTCCAGGAGCCTTGCGAAGCACATGGGTAAGCTCAACAGGCAGCCGACCCCCGATAAAGATTGGTGCTCATCCCAAAACCTAGCAAGTTGAACGACGACGCATCCTCATACAGACCCCTATGTATGCTAGATACAACGGGTATCTTATTCCAGCGCATAATCGGCACCCAACTCGAAAACACAACTCGACGAACTCAGAGCGTTATCGGACCACCAGTTTGGCTTCCGGAGAAAAAGAAGCACCATTGACGCGATCCAATCGGTCACCCAATTGGTTGCTAACGCGATCGAAGAAGAATCAATCAAAAGAGTACTGCCTCGTCTGCACCCTGGATGTCAAAAATGCCTTTAACCTTGCCAACTGGAACCTTGTTCTGCAACCGCTTCATCGCATCGGAATCTCAAACTACCTGACCGACCTCGTAGCGGACTATTTCAAGGACAGAATGCTCACATATTCCTCCGACGTCGGAGATCATGAGTACCAGGTGACAGAAGGAGTACCTCAAGGATGTTGGTCAATACTCAAGGACCAAAGCACAGCAGAAGGATCATAGCCACAGTGGTAATCTCTACTATTCTGTACGCCGCGCCCATATGGAAAGCTGTCTACAGACGCTGCGCACAACGCATCTCAAGCAGCTTCTGCACGGTATCTGAGGAAGCCGCGCTAGTGGCAGCCGGTACCATACTGATAGAACTACTGGCGGCAGAACGAAGAAAGGGAAGCACAGGAAGCAGGACCCAGCGCAGTATTACGATTGAGGCATGGCAAAGGAGGTGAAACAATGCGACCACAGGGCGGTGGACGCACAGGCTATTTCCCAGTCTAACCCCTTGGCTGCAGAGAAGGCACGGACAGGTAGAATTTTACCTCACGCAGATGATCTCCGGGCACGGATGCTTCAAAGAATACCTGCATAGCTTTAAGCACGGGCCAAACCCCTGCTGCGACCAATGCGGCACAGGAAGCATCGAGGACGCGGAACACGCGTTCTTCATCTGCCCCCTATACGCTAGGAACCGAGTGGAAGCTGAATCAATAACTGAGCGTAACCTGACAGCGGATAAGAAGAGTGGAAGAAAATCACCCATCAACAGTGCTCACGTCGTGTGGACTCAATGTCAAAGCGTTGCTTCGCTCTTCTTAAGCAGAAAGGTCATCCCACTCAATATTAAAGAAAATTTATTAAAAGTTTAAGGAATATTGGGCAAATTTTAACTTTTTCAACCATTTTTTCCAGGTGGCTTAAGTATGTGAGCAGGACATTTTAGAGATGGTCTCAGATCTTTAACGTTTTTCGTTGAATATATATTTATACCCGTTACTCGTAGAGTAAAAGGGTATACTAGATTCGTCGGAAAGTATGTAACAGGCAGAAGGAAGCGTTTCCGACCCCATAAAGTATATATATTCTTGATCAGGATCACTAGCCGAGTCGATCTAGCCATGTCCGTCTGTCCGTCTGTCCGTCTGTCCGTCTGTCCGTCTGTCCGTATGAACGCTGAGATCTCGGAAACTATGAGAGTTACAATACTGGGATTAGGCACGCAGATTCCTGAGATTCCTGCGCAGCGCAAGTTTGTTTCAGTAGAGTGCCACGCCCACTCTAACGCCCACAAACCGCCCAAAACTGTGGCTCATACAGTTTTGATGCTAGATAGAAAATTTTAACTGAAATGTATTGTTCTCATCAATACCTATCGATTGACTCAAAAAAAAGTTTGCCACGCCCACTTTAACGCCCACAAACCGCGAAAACCTGTGTCGCCCACAATTTTCATGCTAGATAAAAAATTTTAACTGAAATGTATTGTTCTCATCAATACCTATCGATTAGTCCAAAAAAAAGTTTTCCAGGCCCACTTTACCGCCCACAAACCGCGAAAACCTGTGACGCCCACAATTTTCATGCTAGATAAACAAATTTAACTGAAATGTATTGGTCTTGTCAATACCTATCGATTGGTCCAAAAAAAAATTTGCCACGCCCACTCTAACGCCCATAACGCTTAAATCTGTATACCGCCGGTAGGTGGCGCATTTTAATCTCGCTTTGCTACTTGCATATCCCTATTTAGCTGAGTAACGGGTATCTGATAGTCGAGGTACTCGACTATAGCGTTCTTCCTTGTTTTATAACTTGGTTTTTCTTCTATTAGAACACTGACATAAAGAACTAATGTGACACAAAAAATTGGAGCTGTGAAATAAAAACTTTCTTAATTTTCGTTTAAACTCTTGGTTGAAGTCTTGTGGCTTAAGTATATGAGCACCACTGTTTATACATTGTACATAGTTGCACGTGCTTTCGTTGTCGTAGCTCAGTTGTATTAAAAAGCCACTTAGAAAACCGCACACGATTTTATTTTTTTCCACCTACCATGTTATTATTAATCTTTTAATTCATACATACATATACACATTGTATATGATTATTATTATTATATAAAAAAAATAAAAAAAACCTCAGAATTGTCAATTTTACCCATCAAATAGTTACTTTTACGTAATACGTACTATAAAAATTGCAAAGTAACTATAAACAAGAAAGGAAGCTAACTGCTGCACGCCGAAGTTTTTATACCCTTGCAGGTCGTTCCGTTGGGAGCATTGTATGTACAGAGCTTTCCACTAACTAAACTAAACAGTAATTATAAAAGTTCAAATTACTACCGTGTATGCTTACCAAAAACGAAATATAAAGGTATTTGTATTGTTTTGACATTAATAACCCGATCGTTCCTATAGCAGCTATATGATGAAGTCGTCCGGTTTGACTTAAATTTTAATTGAATTCTGAAATAGTAAAAGAATGATATTCCTAAGAGTGGAAGTTAATATGTCAAAAAACAACAAGGGTTTAATTTTTTACGCTTAAAAACAATTTTTTGATCATTCCAATGGATATATACTACCTGCAATAGAAATACGACTTTTAGGAAAGTTTCACCCCTCTGCAAGGGTATAAAAAGGGTAGAATGAACCCAATCCATGGATTTTAGATAACTAACGATTTTTAAAGTTATCTCACCCATAAAATATAGTTAATGATTTGTTTACAGTAAATCGTACCTATAAAATTGGTAAAGTTATTAATTAAATTAAATACGTCACTGCGGCATGGTAATTTATAAGCAAACTAAAATAATCAATGTATTTGATGTAAAGTCTTAACTTTATAGAGTTTGGCTTGGTAGTATAGGTGTGCCAGATGCTAGACTCAGTTGAAAATTATAAACAACACATTGAAACAAATTTGTAAAACTATTGTAGCCTACTTTTGTCTGAAAGATTTTATGTTAAGATAACTATTTTTGAAAGTAATTAATTACTTACAATTGGAATAGTTAAAAATTCTCAATCAGTTTATAAATGAAGAAATCATAAGCCAAAAACAATTTTAAAATCCACCAAAAATCGGGATTTAAAATAAAAATAAAATAAAAAAATTTCTTAACGAGATAAAAAACTAGTGACAATCGCACCTTCAACATAAAAAAATTCGGATATCAACTTTTGTTTCGAATGTTTTATTTATATATTCTCAGGTTAAAAGGCAATTGATAAATTACCTAAAACCTATGCTTTTTATTGCAGATATCGCTACTGTGGCCTTAAGCTACTTTGTGTCGAATGTGTTCTATGATCCACTAAATAAAATATAAAATGGCATATCTTTTGAATGAATGGTCTGATTGGGATAGAGTTGGTACCCTCCAAAGCGCATTTTAATAGGAAAAAAGTAAAACTTTATTAATTAAATAAAAATATTAGATTACAAATTATATAATTTTATCTGGTGGGGTCAATGGGCATATATGCATATGAATATTTAATTTTGTTTGTCACAATGTCCCAAATCGTTTTTTAGATGATGCTAAACAGCTTAATATAAAAAACTTTAGTTCTATAGAACTAAAAATACTAAGTGGTGTACCACTTCTGGAAATACCCGCTAGTTTGACGAAATACAGCAATAAATAGCTAAATTAAGGTCGTAACTTTTGAACTACTAAAGCTACAGACTTGTGCTATATGTTGCGGAAAATATATTTTGAAATACGCCATTTTAATGTGATTTGTCTAAATACCATAGTTAAAAAAAATATGACAAAAATTGTTGTATCCGATTTTTTAAGCTTTTTTTATTTATTTCTCAAAATTGGCTCTAATGATTTCTGTTTAAACTTTTAACTGTATAGTGCTTGAGATACTTCAACTTTTGACACACAACACTTGAATTATGTTGTGCTTATCCATTTCTTGGAAACAATTAAATGGTGTTAAACAGCTTGATAATATAAGTTCTAACAGTTAGTTTGGAAAAACCAGCTAGTAAAGCGACAATAACTAAAAAATAGCCAAATTTAAAACGCCCAAAGTTTCTAAACGACCAAAGCTACGTACAATGTACATTGTACATACATGTGCTTTATGTAGTTGAAAAGGTACTTTAAAAAAATTCCTAATAACGATGCCCTTCCTAAAATTGTCTAAATGCAATTTGTTACAGAGGAACATAAAATTGAACTTTGTGAAATTTCCAAA